GGAAGTAGCTCAGGGGGTTCTGCTGCCCCGGGGCGGGGGGCTGGAAAAGGCGTGCCGGTGGGGCCCCGGGTGCCGCCTCCGGGCCTGGCATCTGTGGGGAACACAAACCCGCCGGTCAGACCCGCCCTGCAGCACCTCTGCTCCCCCGCTCCCCCCGGGGCTGGTGCTGAGGCTCCCCTCCACGCAGGAGCACGAGCACCAGGGCCTACAGGCAACCTCTGTCCCGCGAGGGCATGAGGTGTGGACAAGCAGCTTGGGACCCTGCTGCTGGCAGCAAGACTAGCAACACCCGGAGAGCAGGCAGGGGAAGCAGGACCCATTCATTCTACCCGCCCCACAGCCAGCCTGGCAGGAATGGAGACCTTCAAAAGCTACTCAGATGCAAGGAAAAATGGGCAGCTTCCATCTTCCATGGGAAGGTTCTTCAAGGCAACCAACAAAGAGGTTGTAGAGCGACCTTGGCCATGTATCACCCCATGGGTGGTGCCCCAAAGACCTGGATTTGCTGGTTTAAGTGCCCCCTTAAAGGCACTGTGGTACCAAAGCCTGGTTTTCTGTTGCCCCGGAGCTATTTATCTCCCCCAGCATCATCATTCTGCTTTCCATGTTGCTAGTCCCCAGAAACTCAGTGCAGGCCAGGAGCACACACAGCCAGTGTGGGGACGGCTCATGCCCACGCTTGCTAACGTCAAGGGTTCATTTCTTACTCTAAATCCAGACCTGCTGCATGGCTCCTTTCAGCTGTACTCCTCCTGCTTTGTTTCCTACCAGCTTTGCCTAGAGGACCATCTGCCAATCAAGCCAGTCTTGGAGATTGTATTATTAATTATGAGTTTCAACAACACCTCTCCTTGGCAGCATCATTGGTTTGGCATATACTGATGAAGCTGTGCTTTGAAAAACCAAAATCATCATCTTCGCCAGAGGTTTCTGTTGCGAAACACCCATTTTTTACAAGAAAGCAGTGACAGCAGCTTATTAAAAAAAAAGCCCTTGCTACACTGAGATACAAAAGCAGGAGGTATGTTTTCAAAAGAGCTTATCAAGTTTCACGTCTACAGCAAGATTCCCACCAGAGCTCCTCTGGATGATAAGCTTTTGGCAAAATGGCTATTTATTTCTTCTTGACACTAAGTGATAACTAAATTCGTTGGAAAAATATGGCCTTGAATGGGTGCAGAGCCAGCCTGGAATGGCTGAGCACTGAGTACGTGCAGATACAATGGGATTGGAGGATGTGACTAGGTCTGATGAGCCAGGTAAGCGCCATTTCTTCAAAAACATCAACCCAACCCCAGAGTCATCCCTGTGCATTCTCAGAAGGCTGTTCCATTACCTGAAGGTAGAGACGGTGCTGCTGACCCTGCTGCTGTGGCCACTGGTGGAGGTGAACCGGTGTGCTTGCCTGGTGGGATGTGAAGCTGGTGTGTGGGATCATCAGGGATGGGGAGAAAACAGGTGGTGGGGCTGGAGGTCGGACAGTGCTGCAGGTCACCGGCTGCATCTGCACTGGGGGAGGCAAGATCTGCTCTGCAACAAACCTGACACGTGAAGGAAAAATAAGGTGTGAGAACCCAAACCCAGACCCACCAGCAGAGCGGGCCCTGGAGAGCCCAGGTGCTTCAGAACCTGGAGCAGGATTTGTCGAACACCACAGCCTGGTGAAAGCAGGTCCCAAATTTACCCCTCCCCATCAAGCATGGATCTTGATCACGATCTTGATGCTTGGGCACCAAGCAATCATCTCCTCCATGACTTGATCAGGCACTTTAGGCTTTGAAAAAGTCAGAAAACAGCTACTTTTTTTTTTTCCCCAAGAATTTAGTTGGCATAATGTTCTTTGTAATTAAAAAAAAATATTCTTATAACTTTCTCCTAAGCAGATGAGCTTTTACTTTCTTTTGAGATTGAGACAGCATTTGTGTGATCACGTACAAGTTTTTCAAAGCAATTTTCAGCCCCATAAAGCACCCTGCTAAAGCACTGCCTGAAAACAAGGGCCAGCAAAGACTCACTTTCCCTGCTGCCTGCTGGCACTGCTCTGCGTGGACTGGCCACTGCTGCTGGCGGAGGGCATCATGGCTTGGATAGACTGATCCAACAGCATCCTGTGGTGGAAGGAAAACAGAGGGTGCTCAGGGAAGGGAGAGGTCCACACTCGTGACTGTCAGTCTCTAGAAACAAACCCCTGAAAGCACACACCCCATCACCCTGAAAGACAGCTAATGAAAGAGGATGCTTACTGTCACCTTGAGCTGAAACTTCCTAAATCTTTCACCTAAGAAACATGTTTTATAGATGGTGAGACCTTTAGGGTTGACCTTGCTTCCTTGCACTGTATTTGTGTTAGGGCCTTCAGGAAAGAGGGGGAGGGCTCTTTATCAGGGACTGTAGTGATAGGATGAGGGGTAACAGTTTTAAATTGAAAGAGGGTAGATTTAGATTAGATATTAGAAAGAAATTCCTCACTGTGAGGGTGGTGAGACACCAGAACGATGTGCCCAGGGAAGCTGTGTGTGTGGAAGTGCTCAAGTCCAGGTTGGATGGGCCTTTGAGCAGCACGGACTAGTGGGAGGTGTCCCTGCCCACGGCAGAGGAGTTGGAACTAGATGATCTTCAAGATCCCTTCCAACCCAACCCATTCTAGGATTCTGTGATTTTGAAATGGCTGGATCGTGTAGGCAGTGTCTGCAGATACCTCCATGAAAAGTGGTTGAATAGTTTGGGGTAGCTCTATGTATTTTATACAACATCTCCAGTGTTGTATAAAGGAGAAATGGTTTTGCCAGGTCACTTGTCCTGGCTGGAGAAAAGACACACTAGAGCTTCAGAGCAAGCAGACTGAGGTTTGGGAAAAGCTGTCCCTGCTGGTTTTTCCTGTCCACTCCCTCTGACAGCAGCAGATGTCCAAAAGTTACTGAGTTACATGGACCACTTACGGAAATGTGAAGAGACGAGGATTTCAGGCTCCGGAGGGTACAGCGTGGTGTGCACAGCTCCCTGCCTGCACCCACCCCAGGCTCACCACTAACCCAGACCTCTGCAGGAGGGACATCCCTATGCCCCTGCTGTGCCACCACCCTCCCAGAGCCCAGATGTGCCTGCTCTCCCTGCTACCCAGCTACTGCTGTTTTCTGTCACCACCATCAGGGCAGTCCCAGCAGGGCTGCATTCCTACCTGAGGCTCCTGTCCTGGCTGCAGTCAGCCTGTGGTTGCCTGTCACTGCTGTCACTTGGCATCTGTGCAGCCACCGTGATGGGATGTGTTTGTGAAAACACCACGGGGTTGTTGTAGAGGGACATTGAAATGCTCGTCTGCCCTGGCTGACACGTTTGCTGGGCTTGGTTTCCTCTCATGAGGTGCTGCTGCTGCTGTACCTGAAATGAAGACATATGTAAGTTTTTAAGGCTCCCTAAAAGAAGGCTAAAATAATTGCTTCCAGTATGCAGAAAAGGAGAAGGAACAGTAGGACATCCTCCCTGGACACAGCAGTAGGAGCAGTACGTCAACTCAGGACATCCAGCTTGTTTGCACTTGCTGCCCCTGCATGCCAGTGCCCAGCAGTAGGAGCAAACTGTCTCTTGTGCAACTAGAGGACAAGGGAGAAGAGACCAGCTTAGGGAGGAGAGGTGAAAGTCTGGAGTCCCCAAGGAATGTGTCTCATCCACCCTTCAAAGCAGTAGTTTTGGTCTTTTTTGCTTTTGGAGACCTCATTCTTTTCTAAGGAGATGTGACAATCTATATAGTGGATTTAGGTCTAGTGATGACAGATTTGTTTGTCAAAGCTGCCTTCCAAGATTTCTCAAACAGAAGAAAATGAATCTTTTACAATTATGCCCACTTCCCCATGTTACAAACTCACAACCCTCAATGGCTGCAAACCAGCATCGTGTTGCAACTACATCCAGAAGCTGCAACCTCCCACTGGGTTCCTCCCTGGTCACCAGGACAGCTCCAGCAGCCCCCAGGGGTTTAATGGTGTGAGGCCACGGGGCTGTTATCCCTACAGCTGCATGACATCGTTCCCAGCTGCCCCTCGAGGTGACCCCTGCAGGGCCAGCTCTGGGTACAGCCAGCACGGCGGGGCCGCGCGACCCCGCGGGGAAGGAGCACACGGCAGGCAGGTCACCGGGGCGGGGCAGGGGAGGGTGAACACCTGGGTGGCCGTGCCGCAGGGCTCCCTGAGGAGGTGGCGCAGCGATGGCAGGGGGGTGCTGCAGTAGTGCTTCGTCCCCAGGAGCCCCTGCTGCTGGGACTTCTTGGCTGCGTTCTGCCTGGCTGTCCCCGGCGCTGGCCTCCTGGGGCTCGCGTGCTGCACGCTGTTGAAGACGACGGGGATGGGCTGCTGCATCAGCATCTGTAAATAAAGGAGACGTGGGGATTGTCACAGCTCACGTGGGGGTTGAGGCCTCAGCTCCCAGGCTGTCTCTACCAGCTAACCTAACGGTGCAGCACTAACAGCTCTCCATCCAGAGGCAAAGGGAACCGTGAATAACACAAAACCCAAAGTCAGCACGTGCCCAAATGTTTATTTGGAGCCACGACCGTTCCAGTTCCATTACAGCAGTTGAGGTTTGTGGGAGTGGCACTGGGGATCCAGCAGCGTCAACCAGCCTCTGAACCACTGAGCTTTGTGGGAAGGGGGACTTTGGATTAGCGTGGGATTGTTTTTTATCTGAATCATGAAAATTACTGATTCACTACTCTAGCAGATACTGACACCACTGATCTCTCTGGAGATACTACTTCTGCATCCCAGACCACACCACCCATTTGTTACCCTTCTCCCTGCTCAAAGGCAAAGCAAATGGTTTGTGGTTTTGAGAAGCCCAGGGGCAGCAGGTACCTGCAGGTTGGAGTCCTGCACTAGCTGGAGCTGCTCCTTGATGACGTGGAGCTCTTCTTGCTGCGTCTTGATGTCAGCTTGCAGTATGCGAGTCCTCTCCTCCAGCTGCTCTTTCAGCTGATGCATCATCCCCAGCTGGGCTGGGAAGTGGTACACTGGCTGCAGAGAGCAGAGAACAAGATCACAGGGTGGGACCAGTCCTGCTACTCCTGTTCATAGTGATGAGGCATCAGAAAAATGACTGCTTTTCAGCTTTTGTCATAGAAAAGACAGTGCTGACAAAAAATGGCAATCTTAACCAAAGTACCACTGTACTTCCAGAGCAGTAGCACAACTCACACTCAGTGCCTCACTCCAGATCTTGGTCTGTTAAATTTCTGTGCAGACATCGTGTCTATGCACGGGACTCCCCTGTCCCCTTAGTGTGACACCCTGCTGATTCTGGACCACTGGAGTTTTGTGGCACACACACTGCATGCCAACTCTTGCCATACCTCCAGGCTGGGCTTTCAGTTGTCCTGCTGATTTTATTTCACAAATCCCAGGCCCAGGTTAGGTTGTAATCCCACCCTGGGATCCATCCTTCACACCTATGCTGGCTGTCTTCAGTTGCTGGGTTATGGTCTGGATGTTTACCACACTGACCTCAAAGCTCTGGAAGGATGGGCCTCACAGTTACGGCTTATGACTCCAGATATTTCTTGTGTTTTATTTTGCTTCTTCTGGCCTAACTCAAACCTTCCACGACATCCTATTCCTCTACCCGGGCAATAAAACCCTTCAGCCTCATATCAACCTGTAGTTAGCCTCTAGAAATTCAGAGATGAGCCTTCAGGAGCCCCCAGTGGCTTTGACAAGTGTCAACCTTCTACTAAGGTATTTCCTTGGGTGTCCTACCTGCTCTGTCTCCTCACCAAAATAAGTCAGCACAATAATGGGGTTGCAGGTAAACCTCAGTAACCCAACAGAAAGAGCACTGAAACCATATGAGGACCAGCCAGCAAGGAGGTAACAGCAGTGACCCAGAGCCACCAAGCCCACCTTGCTGGCTGGTCACACCAGTGTGCTTAACAAAAAATCCACCACGTACCATCACAGTGTGCTGAGAGGGGGCTGCCGGCTGAGCCACTGGGTGCTGAGGGAGGTGTTCCGCAGGAGCTTGAGGAGTTCCTATGGCCTAGAAATGAAAAACTTGCCTTACTGGAGGTCCATAGCACCTTTAGCGCAGAGCTGGTGAGATACCAGCTCGTAGCAGTGATGAACGAGTGCAGCAAGTTGGACAACTCCACACGGAGGTCTTAGGATGAGTGTGAAGGGAGAATCTAAGCTCCTGCATGCTCCCTGCTAATTGCAAATACTCAGTGTCAAAGGCCATGTGACCTGTACAAACCCCAAGAGAAGTGGGCTCATGGTGTAGAGAAGACGTTTGGCCTGGAGGAGCAAACTGAATCCCAAAAGAAGATTAGATTAGATCCCCCTAGCAGCTCTCCAGCAGCTCCACCAGCCAGCAGGCTTCCCACAGCCCCAGAAATCCCACACTCGGGCCCAGCACACTCTGAGGTGAGGACCCAGCCTCTCTGAGGGCTCTCCAACTCATTTCTTTACCGCAGCAGAAAGGCTTTTGCTGGCCAGGACCACCAACCTGGGCACTTCCAGTGGATGCCAACCGCAGAACTGCCTTCTCCACCTGCCCCCCCGGCAGCGAGGGCCGCGTGGGCGTGCTGGTGTCCGTGTGCCGCATGGACGACGTGGCTGGAAGAGAGAAGTTTCCCCGTGGGAGGGCAGCCCCACGCCTGGCTGTCCTGGGGAAGCCCAAACTCCACATACACAGAGGAGCAGCGACCCCAACACTGCCAAACTGGGTCCCCAGACTGCCCCTCCATGGTCCCTCTGGCTCCCCGCCTAACTCACTTCTGCTGCTAATGCCCCGCTTTGGTCTGCCTTCCGTGGGTGTCTCCAGATGAGCTTTCCCACTCTCCCCAGCAAGCATTTCAAGAAAAGCCCCCTGAGTTGCTCCTCCCCACAGCCCTGCATACATGTGGTCACCCTGCTACGGCCCCCAGGGCAGGGGGTCGCTCCTGGGAGCTGGGATGAAGCTGCCAGCGAGGTTGGCAGCCTTCTGCACTCCTTCTGCAGGGAGTTCTCACCAGGGACCAAAACACCCCATAATAAAAGATGTGTCAGTGAGGTCTGGGGCTCAGCTTAGCAAGTCTTCTCCTGCCCCTGGGCCCCAGGGAACAGCCACAGCCCTCGGCCGGTGGCAAACGAGTGGAAACGGGTGGGCACGGCTCTGGTGCCCAGCCAGAACCCGTTATGGCACGTTGTGGTGGTTCTGGTGCCGGGCACCCCTCTCCTGCCCCGGGCTGGTGGCTCCCAGCTGAACCCCGGAGTTTTGGAGGCTGCACCTACAGGCGGAGTCGGAGAGGGCGGTGTGCGAGGAGCGGCGGGAGCTGTGGGACGACAGGGACACTCCCTCCCGGCTGGCACCCTGGCTGCTGCCGCACTGCCCCACCTCCAGGTAGCTGCTGTGGCTCTGTGGGCAGGGAAGGACAAGCGGTGAGACCGTCAGTGAGAGAGGATGGCACTGGGGGGCACCTCCCAGGGAGCTCCCCATCTTCCCACTCCCCTCCCAAAAGATCAAGCAATGAGAGGGATCGCTGTGTCTTCTCCATGTGCCTCACACCAAGAGATACAGCTTAAGGTCTGCAGAAAAGTATCTCAGCTATCACCTGGAAAGGTGGAAGAGACACAGGAGTGTGCTGACAAAAGCAGCTTTGCCAGAGGGCCGTTGCTCAAGTACAAACAGCCTCTGGGACAGGTTCCCCTACACAACCCACAAGTGGCTTCTACAAAATAAAGTCTGAAGAGCTATGAGGCTAGTGAAATCATAATTACACAACAACCCACTTGAGATTACTTGATTACTGGTCTTACTTGTAAACTATGAGAGGAAGAACTTCAAAGAAATCAAAATGATGCTGCTGACTGGGCAGGTGGGTTGGGATGCCAGATTGGTTCAAGCCAAGGAAATTATTGCTCTGGTCACAATCCTACACCTGATATGATCCTGCCCAAGGGTGTAAGCAGAGCTGAAATCTGGAATAAGTGTTTTCCCTTCACTTCCACTCTTGTCTGAGCATCAGTGACAGGATGAATTACCAGAACAGGTACCATGTGGTCCTGCCCTGTACTCAGATGCTCTGTGCCTTACTAAGGGTGACAGGTACAGCAATCTAGCCTCCAGCTCTGCTTTTCTGCTTCTGAACCGACGTGGTTTAACCTATCATTTGCATAACTGTCTCAGAAAGCTAATGAATAGCAGAACAGCAGCAATGCAAGTGCTGACTTGGCAGTTGTATGTCTGAATCTAGAGGGGCAGTTTATAGCCATGCAGTGGAAAATCTCCCAGGGTCTGCTTGAGTCATAACCCAACGGAAGGCTTGGAAGGTGATGGGAGTAAAGGAGAAGAGAGAATACAGGTATTTTTCTAAGAATGGCAAGTGATTACTCAGTTTGGTTTAAACACCTACTCATTCACTGTGAAGGGCCATGATACCTTTAGAGAAGAGGATGCCAGTTCAATTGATGACTCCTCAAGGCCAAGATCTCGCCTCCTTTCAGCTCGAACTTCTGCATAACTTAAAAAGAAAAACAAAACCAAACAACCCAAAATTTTAAATCCAGTTTTTCAGCCTGGCTGCTGTTTCACTATCCCACCACCAGGTCACTATGGAGTTTTCATGCTGAGTCACGAGCTTTGCACAGCACATGCACACACTCTCTCACATCCAGGGTGCTTAGAGGAACATCATCATACAGCCTGGCAATCTGTGAGGAACTGCACATGCTGAATACCCACGGGTAGGAGCAACAGGGCAGCATCCCAGTCCCACTGCTCCCAGGACTGCAGAGATGATTAACTGCACTCATCATTCCAAGCACACAAATACTCCTTTGCAAATTTTGGCCCTGGATGCCTTCAAGCAAAACTAATCTAAAAGCAAAGTGCACTTGGTTATTGAAGGCAAAGCAGGTGTTTTTGTCCACAGAACAATTTTCCTAATAAAAGAGATTCCCATTTTCAATAATCAGGCAGAAAAATGATCCTACAGCTTCTGCAGGAAGCACAAGGTGCTCCTGTGCAGGTGAACTACATTCATTTTTTAACCTGCTGATGTGCAAGAACCAATTTTTTGCATGTTGCATGGTAGCTCAGTGAGACCCTAAGCCAGTGCTTTGGGGAGGATGAGGTCAGGTCCCCTTTCTCTGAGGGTGCCCACAGCTCTGGGCAGTGTGCTACGTCAGAGTTAACATCCCAGACACTGGTGGAAGCTCTGAACACAAATGGATGGCTGCTGAGCCAGGAATCCCCAGGAATGTGCCTCTAAATGTGTATATTTGCCTTCCTTACCACTTTTTCTCTTAAATAATAAAATATTTCCAGTAAAAAACGCCACGTGACTCACCAGTGGGATAAATTGCAGAGGATGTTTTAAAGACTCTGTGAGTGCTTGTGCATCATGGGCACTGAAAGGTGTCAGAATTTAGGGTGCTGGAATATTAGTGGGCTTTGTGGAAGGCAAGAGGAGTTACTGAACTGAACTCACTCATTGTAGGCAATGAATTTTTTTGAAATCACATTTTAACTGCAACATTTCAATAGTATTTTAAACATTAAAAATACTAAACCTTAAATACTCTAAACCCTCTAAATAATATTCTAAGCCTTAATTGTATGAGACAACTGAATTTCAAAATCTGTTTAGAACTCCATGAGTAGGTTTAAGAGGCACTGGAAGCAGAAAGAAGACACAAGTTCATGCACAATAAATTCAGAGCTCAAAGTGAAGCTGGATTCCCTGAAGGATGGCAGAAGCAACAGAACTCATAAGCAAACTCTCTGTCTAACATTTGCTTATGATAACACTTTACATGTTCTACAAGAAAAAGGGGGACAAGAAAAAAATTCACTACTTGACTCCCAATGGTAAAGAAAAATACAGTGACCAACATGTTTACTCATGTTAACAGAGCAAACCAGTACACCGCTGGCTTTTCAAGCCCTTCAGTAAATATAGTCCCACCCTCAACACTCTATTTTTTGGTATGACAGTGGTCATCAAGCACACTCCCCTCCAGAAGGTGCCTGTCACAGAGCATCCCCCAAACACAGGGCTTTCCAGCTCGGGTTTGCAGCCGAGCACAAGCAGCCTCCCACTAGAGGGGGATCCTGGGCTGCATTTCAGGTGAGGAATGAGGCTGGCAGGACAGCAGCCACCTTCAGCTCCTCAATATTTAAAGCTCTGATCAAAAGGCTTTCTAGGAGATGTATGATCCCGTTCACTTCCATAAAGCCAGCTGATTCTTCACAGCTTTAATTCTTCCTATGGCCATCTCATTGCTAGGGATTAAAGGGGAATGTAACACAAGACTTGGCCAACGGTGGCTTCCAGGGTTTTGGCTCAGTTGCCAGAAAAACCCAAAGAGTAATGAAAACACATTATGCTTTTCCCCATGTTCCCTGTCATAACAGCTTTATATAATCCTAGAATGGCTTAGGCTGGAAGGTACCCTAGAGCTCATCTCATCCAACCTCCCACCTCTCAACTAGCCCAGGTTGCTCAAGGCCTCATCCAGCCTGGCCTTGAACCCCTCCAGGGAGGGGCATCCACAAAACCTCTCCGGGCAATCTATTCCAGAGTCTCACCACCCTCCTACTGAAGAACTTCTTCCTTAGATCTAGTCTAACCCACCTCTCAGTAGAATTACATACCCTATTATCATACTCAATAGCCACAGCAAACATTTGGTTAACACAGAACTAGAAAAAATAATGGATGAGCATATGGGACAAACACTGAGAAGTGTTTGGTGCTTGCTCCTACCTGACTACCAGGTGAGTGCAAACGATGAACTCGGGCTTGGAATTCCACTGGTGGTAGGTGATGTAGTAGTGTGTCTGCAGCCATATCCACTGCTGGCCTTTGGTCAGGAACCGATAGTAACAGGACTTCCCTTTCCCAAACTGCATCACTGTTCAACAAAAAAGAAAGGAACTGATACCAAAGAGAAGTTTTGTGGTGCAAAGGTGATCAGAAAACCCACTCAGTCCCAACCCCCCCCTGCAGTCTGCTCCTGCACTAAAATGGCTCTTGTGGCTTCATAAACACAATGGATGATGCACGGCCATGTGCTGAGCTTTTATTTGGGTTCTTTTCTGCTACTGATTTTTCAAAAGTGCATTTGGCATTTTGAGATTGTTCTTACAACTAATTATTGGCCTAACTATATAACAAGCTTCTTCTAACTATATTTCTGGGCTCCTCTGAAATAAGCATAAACAACATTAATTAAACCAAGTAGTGGCCTTTCCCAAGTACAAGAGGATGCATTTCAAAGGCTGTGGGCTTGAAGTCAGGGTCCTAATAATGGCACAAAACAATAAGCTAGTGGAATATCAGCAGTTTGACTGGGAATTTTATTCCAGGAGATGACCTAAAAACACCAAACTGGTATGTATTATCAGAGTATGTCCAAGAAAATCTCAAGTGGTGTAATGTAGCTAGAAAATAATCAGGGGAACTACATTAAATAACCACATTAATTGCTCCCAGACTGCTGGGAGTACAAAATGAAGCACACTCACCTAAAATATCCATAATTAATGCAAAGTAAAATCCAACTACGGTTTAAGCAAACCCATTTCACTTCACAGTAGGCAAGATGCCTGTCCACAGCAGTCAACCTGGTGAATGGGAACTTATCAAGCCACACTAACCCAAGTACTTTTACTCACCTGCACACCTCTACTTTGTTAAATATCAGGGCTAACTTCTTTAGCAGTCCCATTAACAGTGATGGGCTTTAGATGAAACACTTAGCAAAGGTCCTGTGGCCAACATCGTGCTGGGCATCACTCAGCTCCTAGTCCTGGCAGAGATTTCCTGAACCAACTTCTCTAAGTCACTTTGCCAGCACCTTACCTTGTGCCCCTGCACAGGAAGATTAAAAGATCCTTTCCTTCAGATGTGGTGGGAAAATACTCTTTTAATATGTAAGAGATCTGTGGCTAGTAGAGATTTAGAACATAAATCACTAAATAGGCTCTCTGCCGATTGATTTGACCCCACTCTCAATGTAGTCAGTGTCTACGTCAAACTACACACACGTATTACCAAAAGGACATTATCTAGTTCAGTAGATCACTTCTGTCTAAATGGTCTTCTAAGCAGACAGCACTAAAAAGAACTGTACTTGAAAGCAATTTAAATCTTCCTTTAATATCCCATCTACATGCTTGCTGCACTTGACACAGCTTGCATCTAGCTCTTTTCACAGCTTGCTTTGTGTGCTTAGCTGGGCAATCTGCTTCCTTGCTGCCTGTTTTGTACCAGCACTTTGCCTTGACAGGGCAGAAAAGCTGGCAGGAAAGTGGAGTGGGGAAACTTGACATTCAGAGAAGTCATTTTCTCCACTCTCTACTAGGTCCTTTAGCATCTCACACTACTGTAAGTGGTAAAGGGTACGTGGTAGAGATGGGGGTGGTCTGCAACCAAGAGATGAAGCAGCTTGTCCAGCTCCAAGTGTGCTGGGGGGCTCTGTAGTTTCTTGGTGTTCCTGCTCCACCTCTCAGAGTAACTCCAGCATCCCACTTCCTCTGCTTTCACATGTGTCCTTGTCTCTTTTTTACAAAACACCCTTCTTTCAAATGGAGCTAGCAGAGAGACAAACAGCTAGAGAGTCTGCCCAATAAGAAACCTATAAGCAGTACTTCTTGGCAAAATATCTGATTACCTAGATGCAATTTACAAAGTGTGTAGTTACTTTTTGTTATGGTGCCTGGCAATGCAAACCAGCTGGAAGACTGACCTGATTCTGGCTCGATATCTCAGTCTGAAGTGCACATAATAAAATGGAAAAATACAGTCTCAGAGATAAAACATCTTAGATGCTCATCTGGTAGGAACAGCACACTGATTAACAGGAGACCACATCTGCTGCCACCTTTTGGTCTTCCTCACATCAGCTCCAGTCTTCAGCAGAAGACTGCTCTTCAGCAGCAGGCTGCACTGCTGGAGTACTTGGGGCAAATGCTCCTTCTGACTTGGCTCCTCCTCAGCTCTTGTAGGTCACAGTATTTCACCTTGCACAAAGATGAACTTCATGGATGTTCTCTGATGTTTACACATCAGCCCGAACTGGACTTTTCTGCTTTACTTTCAGGTCAACCAAAAATGAACTGTCTCTACCCCCAGGCACCCTGTATTCAGTACTTTGGCATTTAAAAAAGAATGTCAATCTCCAGCAGCATTTTACTAATCCTGAGTGAGGTTCACAACATTTAATTGCACGGGCAAACGATCCAACTGCTGCTTTCAGAAGGCATTTTGGTGAGCTGAGCTGAGCCTCCTGGCTGACTCCAGAGCCCAGAGGAACAGCAAGACCCCATTGAACTCTAACAATCAACAGGACTCCCAGGGTTTGGGGCTGCCCTCATAAACTGGGTGGAAAGATCTGACTTCCCTCTCAGACAAACTGGGTATCTGCCAATTTGAGAAACTTGCACAAAGAGTTCCTGATCTGAGTGAATTCTGCAAGGGTTCAGCCTCCCAGGTAAGTGTCAGCTATGACAGCTGTGATGGGAAAAAAGAATTCCCTTGAGCCCCAGATAAAGATGGTTTTTTGTGATGACAGTAAAAGGTTTTGTGTGAGTGACAAATGAGACCAAAGACAGGCACACTGCAGAGGGAGAGGAACTTACAGTGTTCATGGCACCTAGCAAGAAGCTCCAGGTCATCCGCATGGTAATAATCATACCCTGACGTTCCCAGAACCTCAAAGGGTAAATATCCTATAATAGGTGGAGCCCTAGAAGGGAAGAAAAGGGCAGAGTGAGCACAAACCCTGACACTCTGACATCCTGGCAGATATGCTGTGATACTAGCAACCAAACCCAACCTGTACGTTCACCTGGCGGAGAAATCAGGGGTGGGTTTCCCTACGGGGTGGGGGTCCCTACACATAAAGATGCATTTTCATATACAAGCAAAAAAATAACCAGCAAGGGAGAGGTAAAAACCGAGAAAATGAAAAGGTGTGTGTTTACTGTTCCAGAGCCTATTCATTATGTGGGTGTAGGAAAGGCATGTACGTATGCAAGTGACTCAATTCATCAGGCACGCTTCTGAGACACACGGCTTGAGAAACGCTACGGCTGGTGCTGTGCGTCATAACTTGGGGCTCCAGCAAAATCACCCCCTAGCTTGGATGGAAATGCCATCTGAGCAGCGACTGCTGACGAAAGAGCAAGTGGGAAGCTGGAATGTGTATCAGGACCAGCCTGGATAAAAGAAAAAATAACTGTTCCCGTGGAAAAGCTTGGGAAATAATTGTGCTGGTAGTAAGGATAAGAATAGGCACGGGGCTGGCTGTAAGGACTGTTCTTTCTGTGGCAGGCAGGGAAGGAACCAACAGAATATTTAGATAGGCACACTCTAGTGACTTCTCTGATTACTCTTGTCACCAATGCTAGTTTTTTCATTTATTTTCTAATCAAAACATGAGATTCTTTTTTAAGCAGCTGTCCTAACAACACTGAGCTTGCACACAGCCCTCACTGGAGCCTGCTAGCTTATGATTATGAAACAACACTGAAATGTGAGGAGAAAACCACTATTTTTGCCTCTACTCCCTATCTCAGCATGCCACCTTCCGTCCCCCAGCACTCAAATACACTCCTGCTTACACCAACTCAAGCACCACCCTCACTTGGTGAGGTAGGACTTGTGCTAATTTGGCTCCACCTATTTGTTTTGGCTGCTGGATGTGCTGACAGAATGAGGCTCACCTGCCAAGTTCAGCGTGTTCCTCAGGAATAAGGCAGTGGTGTCAGTGACACGGTTAATGAATCAAAACCAGGGGAGGCTGAAGGTGTCACTGCCTATCAAATAAGACTCTCCCACTGACCTTCTCCTGGTCTGTCAAGTGACCCTCTTAAGGAAGGTGAATGCCACGAAGTGGCCCAGAGTATGAGCAAAAAATGATTTAAGTACATTTGGGTTTGGATGGATCAGTCTTGAGCCTTCTGGATATTAATGTGGGAAGTTCTCCTGTCTTGTCTGAGCAACCCAGGCCCACACCGGTATTCTTGGGAGACACAGTGGGCATAGATTACTCAGCTAAAGAGAGCCCAAGCAGGTTGCCAACCTCCCTCCTCCCCACAGCTGCAGGCAGCCTGGCACCAAATGGGAAAGAGGGGTTAGGGAGGACAGCCAGAGATCTGCTCAACAGCACCCTCAGGAGGATCAAGGTCTGAGCAGGAGCTGCCATGTCCCAGCTCAAGGGGTTGGCTGTAAGAGCCAGTCCTCCACACTTGATCAGTGCTGGAGCAATGGTTGTACTTGATGCTCTGAAAGGTCTCTTCCAACCAAAACAGTTCTACAATGATGGCAAATCTCTTGAAGCAGAGCGTGCTGAGCACACGGTGGTATCCACCACAATACTGCTTTATTTATTCAAATAACTTTTCATAGAGCACTGTGTTCCTTTTCCTCATGTGACCCAGATTTCTGTTAATGATGGTAATACGTGTATTATTAAAGTGTCCTTCCTGGCTGTCTCTTTGGCAGAACACACCAGTGTCTCTCCTATCTTTAATGACATGCTTATATGCAAGACAATAATGTCTTTCAGATGCACACCAGACAAACAGTTAAGCTGATCAGGAAAGTATTATGCTTTCCTGATTTTCACTAGAATTCTTTAAATGAGAAAGCAACCACAAAATGTTCCTCATCTGTCGTTTGACAAGGAGCTGCCTTGCTTGTGGAAGAGTTTAAAAGTCTCTTGTTAGCACAAGATCCAGCCTTCAGGCCTGCAGCTTGCTGTGTAAATGAAAATGCAGTCTCCAGAAAGCCTTTTGAGAGCAGACCTTTCATAAATGAAGGGAAAAGAAGGAGAGGCCCACAGTGAGGAAGAGAAACAGAACATTATCAAAGCTGGTAGGTTTATTTCCTTTATAAATATTTACACGTAGACCTAGAATACAGATTTTTCCTACTCTTCTAATATTTATTCAAATCTATGGAGTGCTTTCTCCATTATCTGTCTCTATGCCACTTTATGTTGTTGTCAGGATAGCAAAGGTCTCAGTTTCAGCTCAGGCTGGGTACCCCCTGCCCTACTGATGGCACACCTCAGGTGTGACCTGACACAAGTAAGCAGGAAACACCAAAATACCCAACAATGTCTCACAGCGTCCTGCAGAATGCACTGGAGAGAGCCTGGAATCAGGGATTAAATGAGACAACCCACACAAGCCTCTGCCCATTCTTGGGCCTGGGCTCACCACGGCCATCCAAGGCTGTCACAAACTCTGTCTCAGCACCTGCATCAGCTTCATTTGCTCTCGGTAGCAATGGTTTCCTCCCTGGGGTTATCAGTGGGACCAGAGCGGCCGCAAGCACCCGGCGCAGAGAGATTCCTCTCTGAGTCATAACCCAGATTCATCAAAAGACTCTTTGATAGGTTTCAAAGCAGCTCCTGCTCGCCTGATTCACAGGAGCTGCTGGGACACAGCCCTTTGAAAAAGCAGCTCACTTCATCAGGCAGTGAAGTAAGGAGCTTAGGGCTCTTCTACGAATCTTAACATTAATCACCTCTTTCTGAAAATGTGCATTATTGGACAGGCCAATTAAAGTCTAACAAAGTCACTGCAGCCAGATCTCGACAACAGGAGTAATAAGTTGATTGTCCCAAACCACAAAGCACTAGCTGTAGGGCTGTCACAGGGTCAGCTCCTCCATGTTTCCAGGTATGATGCCTGAGGTACACATCTTATTTACTACATAAATGCAAGTGATTATTAATTTATAGTTGCTCTCTCTTTTTCTTACTCTCAATTTGCAGATGATATTTAGGTTTTTTTCCTCCCAGATATTCCTTTTTTTCTCCTACAGCCCTACTTCCTAGTCTCCTATTTCTAGCAATGACTACCTTTGCACAGCTTGCAAAGGGAAGGATAATGGACAGGGTAGGATTTTGCAATGTGCTTATGCATACATGTCAAACACAGAAAAGTAAGAGTGAACAAAACCCTCCAGCTTCTTTTGAAGAAAATGAATCCTATATTAAGCAGCTTAATAAAGTGGGTCCAGGCTGTTTCATTCACAAACTGAGTTCTAGCCCACTGTATGGCACTGTCAAAACCAAATCTGCAATTCCATCTTCTAATCCCCTACTTTCTCTTTTATTTTCATAAATGCCATCATTTCTTAATGTGCAAATCAAAAATTTGTTGAGGGAAAAATTCAGAAGGATTTCTGGAAGTTGTACCTGGAAAACAGAGGAGCTAAACCAACACAGGGAACAGGACCCACACTGCCCAGCTTCAATGACTAAGTATCTTGGTGAAGTTAGACATTTTCCTGCCATTTTATATGGCTTTTTACCTGCCTAAAATATGGGAAAGGGCACAGCATTTAAGGATGCCTAAAAACTAAGTTCAGAGTACTGTTACTTACTTAGTTGCACTTAAATAGAGCTACTCTACTTGGTATTTCAGGCAATAGTTACGCAGAGTTTTCTCTTTTTAAACTACAGAATGTTTAGTCTCCAGTGACTAAAATCAAACCTCTTACCTGTGATCCAAGAATAAAAACTTCCATTCCAAACTATGCCTTGATGTAAATTCTTCACACGGCTCTTCAACATTGCAGAGCTCCTGCAAAAGAGTTGGCACATTCAGACACTTAATTCTATGAAATGACAAAAGGAACCCTCCATCAGCACCAAGGATGCATCTTCTTGGTAACAGACCCTAGAAAAACACAGTGCTTTTAAAGTACCTGACTTATTTTCCTCTAAGGAATGTATAAGCCTTGGTTTATAGATGCATGAATTGATAAAAAGTGGCTGAATAATTTACCCTGGGCTGAGTTTTAAAGCTAGGGTAAACAGTTTAAGGGCCTCATCTTGCAGTCTGCAGGCAAAACTCCCCATCTTCTTGCAAGGATTGGTATCTGAATGTGGATGACAGCATCGGGTCCAGCTTTACACCAAGCTGGCTAATGCTCTCTTGAGCAAGAAGCATCTACAGCCATTATCCCTGTCACCACTGCACTGTGCCACAGGACTCTTACAGATCAGCAGGA